GATTTTTTTCTCCCATCCATACCTGATTCAAAGCATCGTAGAGACTCTCGTAGAGGCTCTCTAAATTCAGAAGGATTACAGTCCGTCCTGTCTCCATGCATACCTTAATTCGATTAATGTCTCGGCAAACCTGTAAATATGTGCAACAGAAAAGGGTCGCAAATTCAAACCACTACTCAATCGCCTATAATCCACAATTTATGCCCCAACAGAACAGCGTGTCCACTATGGTTTTAGTTGGACGGTCTAATCGACCAGTTTCTGTGTCAATTCAGCAGTTCTACTATAAGGCTTTATGGGCCATAGGTTTAATTGATCGTTGACTACTCGTACGAAACATAATGATATCAATAACTCCAGTTGGTCCTATGACCAACGTTAAAACGATCAAAATGACTAACTTTGACGAATATTTTCGTTTTTATTCGTTTTTATCTAAACATACTTAATGGGACGAGTAGCTCCTCTTTCACTTTGATATTACAAGTTTGGTCAATTTGTTCCAGTTGCGATTCTAGCCATTATAGACGCCAAAGATTACAGCCGTATCCTCTGAAGATTATTTCAAAAGTTTCAAAGGAGCATCCTATTTACAAGTTGAAATCAACGCTTTGACTTGTCAACCATCAAGGTGAGTTCCCTAAATAATGTGGAATAACTGCAATTAGTTATGCCACCTTATTCAGAAGTCAAATTTAGTGTGAATTACATTATTTAATACGAGTGTTACAAAGTGTAAGTACCTGTGTGTACTCCTGATCTTTCGGAAAGCTGCTCCCAAAAATTACGACAGGTTCGTCACCAGGTCGAGTTTCATCACCGGTTCGAAGTAACTCTTTCAAAACAATCGGCAGAGCGGCATAATTCTCTGTCAATACCAGTAGGTATCGACTCTCTCTTTTAAACCAAAAGAAAAAAACCTTTTAACAAGAACTGTTCCACTTATTAGATTTTGAATTCTTAATGCATGGATCTGATTTTACGTAAAAGATTATTAAAGTGTTATCGTTGATTTTACATAAACAAACCGCTAAAACGTTGCCTTGACAGTTTATCTAACGATAGATAGCAGAGCCGAGCAACTGAGCCCTGCTCAGTGATGAATTAGACAATATTGAACGTCTTCCTTACCCTTTCGTTTTCTTTTGATCTTTAAGGCTGGCCTTGATCAGATTCACAGCAGACAACGGATCTTCATTTTGCTCCATCTTCAAGAGACAAGAGCCGAGTAGATATGCATTGAAGTGAAAATGACAGTGACCTGCTTCAACGGTGATAACATCAATAGCTTGATTCGTTCAATGCACATGCGACAAATGCATTCGAGTTAATATCTTTGACCTCTTTTCTAACGATGACAATTTATTTTCATTCATTTCTTTTAAAAGTATTTTTAACAAATGTACAGATCATTAATATTACAAAAACAAAAGGTATGGGTAAACTAGAAATAAAAAAATACCGATAAAACACATACCATGCGGCTTCCACCGAAAGCAAATTGTTTGAAAATTTCCACAGGTTCAATCTCATCCAGTCCCCCAAAGTTTCTTCTTATGGCATGTTCTACCTCAGGCCAACGTGGCTCGCGACCTTGCTCCTCAGCAATTTTGTACACCATTTTCACAAGGCTTGGGGTAAAAAGAAAAATAATTTAAATCCGTTCACTGCCAAAATTTGATAGACGTCAGCTGCAACGGAATTTAATTTGGCTACGAGCCTAAAAGTTTGTGTCACATTGAAACGCGACGTAAGAAGAAGTTACACGTTAATTACTGCTAAGAAGTAGAGTTGAATCCCATCATCCTGATGATAAATCTAAGCTTCTAATAGTTCCTAAAAATATTTCACCGACTGAGGGATCTTCCTTGCCGACTAATTTTATTACAAATGGAGAACTTGAAACCTGAAATATTCGTTAACATAGCAGCCAGATGGTGAACGAAAATATTTAAAAAATGCGTCAACTTAAACGATTAATACAAGACATAATTACAGTACAAAAGCAAGGATTACAAAGTATGTCAAGGGTCTTATTGTGAACTAACCCATCTATTGTAAAGAAAAAGGGACAAAATAGGCTCGCATGAAAGACGCTACAGTTTTAGAGCCCGTATCTGGTCAGTTCTGCCCATAGAACTGCAACATTTCTACATGAGCGTAACCTCAGAGTGGCTAGTAATGACGTATGGTCAACCAAAGATGACTAGGGTTCAGCTACAACACATAAGCAGCTAATCAGTAATAATGAGAGAACTATCAGAATTAACATTTCAATCATAATGCTACCTGTAAAAATCCCGAAGGCCAAAAAATTCATCTTTTTTGGACTCCTGGAGGGTCTCAGACTCTCTTTGATTATCGTACAATTTTTTGTAACCGAGTGCCAGGGGATTCATTAGTGGTGCAACAAAGCTTTGTATGCGTTTATTGGTGGAACAAATGCCCCTACAGAGAAAGAAAATTTATGTTGTGAACGTTTCCTGCATGATAGCAAGTTAAAAATCAGTATAAAATATTGCATTCCCAAACCGTACTTTAAATTCCTGTTTACAAATTTCATCTGTCACAAGTTTCTATTTCACTACTGAAAGTAGGAAAATAAGGATGCTGTCACGGTTTTAAGTCTGTAGATCGCAGGCTGTCATTATCAAAAATTATCTGAGGGAAAATCTTACATTGCACTTTCCACAAGTTCTTCAGAATCAGGCAGACCACGTGATAACATAATTCCACGGTTCATTTTTGCGGGGTCTAGAGCCCAGTTAGAGATCCCAATGAACGCCACTCTTTCTAGAAGTTGCTCTTCATTGGCAATGATGTCATCGGTTAAGTTCACCCCATCTTCAAGTAGCGGATGAAGAGTTTTCAGGGGCATCAAAGGTGAGTCTTCAGCAAGGCCAACCTCGTCCAAGACCACAACTGATACATACTTGTCTGGGTTGTTGGCTTTCTGTAAGTTACTGCAATTGCGAAAGGTTGCCATGATCCCTTCAGCAGTTGAGAGCGGACTGCACTGATAAGAAATCATCTGGACCTGGTCAAAAGTAGAATCAGTAAAGCCGTTCCATCAACTGAGGGAACTTAGTGAGTATACTAATTTCCCCTAATGATTATTGCTTCGAGACATTCTCTTTCAATTATGAATACACCCAGAGCATGCATCATTTTATTTCAAGATGAGCTTTCAATTTCCTCCAGAACGCGCCATTGCATCATTTTTGAAAAGGGCAGCTTGTACATACATCAACTACCTACCTGCTTGAACGTCTTGAAGAGATCAGACCTTGAGGCATCTCCAAGCATGTTGTCAGTTACAACAGTCTTGGCAAGTGACTTGGAGCTACCCGGTTTACCGACGACAAACAGTGGAATCCTCAGTTCAATACATACCACCATCATGAACACATTTTCGCTCAATGCTGTATTGCGAGCAATGTTATCCCCAAGTTCCAGTTCATTCAACACTGCCTTCTGACAGCTAGGGAACGATAAAGCACGAAACAAATTCACAAGGTAAGTCCAATCATAAACAGAAATGAAAAAATGCTCACCCTATCTCGACCACAGGGTACACGATAGATGTTTGTTAACATTACCTTGTGATTTCCTTCAGAATACGTTCTTGTCCGCCGGGCAATTGACAGGGGTTTGCAAAGCTTTGAGCGACGGCTTGACGATATGGCTTTCTGTCCTGAAGGCGTGCGTGATAACAAACCCCAAGGGAGAGCACAACTGCTCGAGTAACATCATCAAGGGGCTAATAAAAACAGAAGAATAAGAGTGGAGTTATAATAGTTGCATCTCTTAGGTTATTGATTCATGGTCTTTCTGAAAGTCAGACCTATGTGTGCATGCTTGTTATAAAAATTCGCTTATTTCGATTTATAAAAAGTACATTTAGATGACCTTTCAAGTAATTGTCAGGACAATGGTGTCATGGTGTCATTCCATGAGTTAGACCCTGACCTTGGTTGCTTAAGCTAAACCAAAGAAAAAAATAGACCATCATTGCCCTTTACGAAGAAAAACCAGAAATTCACCATAAGCGAAAAGCCAGATTGAGGATGAGTAGTGCAATACAAACGAATAATCACATCAGTCTACAGTGTGAAGCGATCGCGAGAACAACATCAATGCTGCTCTTACATGATGCTGGAAAGTCATTAAAACTGCGTTACCTGATCCAATTCATCCTCGTCATACTCGACATCGCTGTCGTCATCGTCGTCATCACTGTCTTCATCGGTGTCATCATCCATTAATGGATTGAGAGCATTACGGTGATTGTAAAACCAAACCATCACATTCATTGCACGTTCAACATCACGAAGACTCACAAAGCTGCACTCATCCTGTTCGGTTCGGTTCAGTGTAATTATTTGAGTAAAGTCAGAAAAGAGTTGCGTTACAATAGAATTCCTACATTTCCTATTTATCTACGATAAGTCTTCGAGCCACGCCAACAAATTTTTTTAGAAAGCTTGACCTACCGTTTGGTCCCTCATGTAGCGCTGAGAAGCAGTAAGTATGGTTGTCAAGGCTTTCACGAGCGAGGCATCTCCTGGAATTTTCTCTTCTTGTAAAACCTTGTTTGAAAAAAGGTAAATAATGTTTCCTAAATTGACAGGTCTCTAGGTGTCTCTTAAGTTTTACTCTTCTTCCAAATGAAATCAAGGTCTGGAATTTTGATCTTCCATCTTCTACAGATCGAACAACGAAAATAGACTCACAAATCTGGTGACGATTTGACGAATGTAAAGCTCCTCAATTTCAGGCTTAAGCTGACCAAAGTCCCATACCAACGGACGCATGCTTTCTGGTAGTGCATGCACTCTGTACACCAGATGCCGAAGAGGAATGTGACCTTTAAGATTAAAAAAAGAAAGATCTGTAGGGCGGAGTCTTTCTCGGGAAAAATGAGAAAGTTAGCATCAAAAAAAATTAAGTGCTACAGGCACATGACTTTAAGACATGGGAAGACTCAATTTAAATCGTTGGCGTTTATTTTATACAGTGCATAGACGCTAAAGGTCACAGCAGTAAGCCCCCGTGCGATGAGCCACTCCTGTCCCGAGGAAGCATCCGTGCCCAAAAATTCACTCTAAGTGAGCTGCATGTCCTTCTCTACATATGTTTATCACTTAGTCAACAATGCTATAGATCAGATATTAATTCACAAAAATTTTATACCAAGGCGATCCTGTGTCTGTTGCGTGGTGACATGGTACCCCAGGCCAGCTGACTCCAACTTATGAATCATTTCATTTGTATGTCTAAGAAACAAAAGTAAAAGAGCTGTTTTGAAATGACACTTAAAGAAAAAAAAAACCTAATATATATATGTAATACTCGAAATTCGCCAAAGGTGTTCAACGTACTTTCTGTAAGGATTGCACGCTGCTATGAACTGTAATCTTTTAAGCCCTAATCCTATCTTTCTGCCATTGACTCGGCGATCGACCATAACCTCTTTGATCATTCCCAAAGCATCAGTTGTGTTAGCTTCGTCAAAGAATAACACCGTATCGATATTCAACGTTTCGTTCACAATAGCCATTGCCTCAGCCTCCTCCACTTTCTTCTCTATGTCTTTGTAGGTAGTACCTCCATGAACCTGTCATTTAGATTAGGTAGGTGTTAATGTTATGGCGATCACCTGGAGAAATGTTCAAATAGCAGATGAGAAAATCTCCCTGTGTTACTGCGTAATCTGCGATCATTTCGCGTATTCTTTTACCATTTCATAAAAGTTAAAGCGGGAAAAAATGAGCTATTATCGTTATTACGTAATTTCAAGACAAATATTGGCTTACGAAAAAATAAAGGACTTGGGGAAAGTCAAGGTTTAGGACTGCATGAGATAAATCGTTGAGTGCACGAGCAAGTAACGCTGATTATGGCGGTAATCGGACAAAAAATTTATAAAACAACAACCTGTTAAATTCTTACCTTCATTAGAAGCATGTTTTTAGGTCCACCAGGCCCAGACTGTAAGCCACACATGTATCGAATAAGGCATGTTTTACCACAGCCAGTCTCACCCATGATGACCACAGGGATGCCACACCTTGGATTTATTAATTTTAAGATTGAGAGAGCCATATTAGAAACCGAAAATTCGTCTTGTTTTTTATGTAAAATTCCACAATTTCCATCTGCTCAATTACCATTAATTGTCTTACAGTTTTTAAAGATATTCCAACGTACAGTTACTGGAAATTGCGTTCACTGTCATACCTAAAACGCATGTGAATAGCTAAGATTTTCTTCAAGTTGTCTGTGGTGAGCTCGTACGAGTCATCTGGATCACAAGGCCATTCGACACCCATTACTCCGCAAAGTTTTTCGATTTTCTGTCCCCTATAACGAGCAAAATAGCAAGAATATCTAAATAAAGCACCCAAGGACTCTTCATTGCAGGGAAAAACACAGGGAAAATCATTTATTATTTGTCCACTAATCAAATAACTGTGATCAAAACAAAGCTATCGAAACCCTACAAAATTTAAGGCCTAGGATATGCTACTGTCAAATACGCAAACGCTAGATCAGCTTCACACTTACTTGCTCCAAGATTCATAGTTAGTTTGCATGTCAACCCTTTGAACGTGAAGGCCGGTACGCAAGTGCCTGGACATCAAGTTTGGCTGAATGGTAACTTGACGGTACGGATCGATTAAGTTCCCATTTGGGTCAATGTGAAAGCCAACAAACGTCATTGTAATACGATCTTGGTTGAAGAATATGTAGGGATGCGAACTGCCAATAAAAAGGGAATGGATATTACCACTTAAAATCTATGACTGTTGATTTCAGTGTACATTCGCAAGCCATTCCCTTGTTACCAAAAGCTGTTCCCTGAACAGTTTTCAAAAGCATGACAGTAATTCAGTCGGTCCCACCTATACAAAACAGACACACACGTAAAGTATGCACTTTGAAATCAAACAATTTCTAGCATTTGCGCAGATCTTATGTATGTAGTCACTGTGCAGACGCAGTGTTACTCATACCTAGTCTCCCAGTGTCTCCTTAGACTAAACTGTGAGACTTCAACTGCTGCAGGTTCCATATCTTCAACAACAGTATCGTCATCAAGGCCTGGAGTTTGAGTGGTTTCTTCACATGTTTTCAGAGATGGTGTGGCAAAATCCTTTTAAGTAACACAAGAAGAATATTTTCAGCAGGTTCTTCTGCGAATTGATGCCATGATAAACTAGGCCTCTTTAAAATCGGTTTTAGGCAATTTCTTGATAAGGAAAAAGATGGCATGTCTCTGTCTTTCTGAATGACTGGCAGGCAAACAAATGCCTTGAAGAACGGATGAATGATACATGGATAACTTAAGAAACGCAAGATCACGAAGGGAAAAATAAGGATAGTTGTTAGTTCGTGAATGAATAGCAATCTAGACAGAGGGAAGGCAAAATAGCGAGCGAGAAGAACAGGATGCAAAGATAGATGGACCAAAAAACTGTACAAGGGCGATCTTGATGACCGTTTGATGGAATTACTTTTAAAAATTGTGTAACGCGTGTAATGAATATATATCTTACCCGTGACATTAAGATCATAAAACGAACCACAAAACTTCTAAAACCCTCAAGAGTGTCCCCCACCAATTCCATGTTGCAGAACGAACTTTCTTCGCAGGCTTGTAGTTGGGAGTCGAGAAAATTCACAAAGTGCCGTACCTCGGCCCATGAAGGGTTCTCGATACCACAATGTCTGTGATTGGATTTGATTGGAAAAAACATGAGTATTTGAGTGTTTAACCACTGATAAATGAGCACATTATAATCTGACACCTGGAATGTTCCTAAAAATACACTGGAATGTTATACACTTACGTTACATATGAAGGAAAAAATTGACGATACAAAGTCTTACAACTTCGTCAGTAGAGAGTTAAAGGTTTTGTAAATGTAATATTTCCGCTTCGTAGATGAACGGCGGTAAAGAAATCATATACATATAAATCTTTCTCGCAAACTAAAAGGAAGTAGCAAGGTTAACTATTCTCTCTCAATGGTGTCATGTAAGTAACCATCAGTTAATTTCCTATGGTCCAAAACTTAACTTTGATTGATTTCATTGAGAAAGTACGACTAATTCAAACAGAAATTCAAAATTGCATCAATTATATGCAAAGTGTTGGTTGAATACAAGCGTTCATTTACATACTGCCTTAGCAACTTTTTGTTACCTCCGCTTACATGCACGTACATCAACACTCAAATGGCACAAAGACAGAACCTGACTGAAAGAACTAAGGTACAATATGCAAGGACCCTCTACATATTTATCAGACGATTCTTCACCTGGTGAGTATATCAATACACTCTGTATGGTCGCCCATAACTTGACCGGGTACAAACCAAAAATGATCAAGAGTCTGACCGCCCGCTTCATACAGCTTAAGGTACTGAAAGGCCCGCTGAACATAGGAGCTTTTGAATTCAGCGTTGTCAAACAAAGGGTTCAAACTGCTGTCAGCTACATAGGGTATGAAGAAGAAAAAAATAATTGTACTGCCTTCTGTTCTCCAGTAGATCCGGCAGATGTGGGTCAAATACCTTAAAATATGTTAAAACACAACCGTACAGCATGTAAAATCAATTGAGCCCGACTCTTGACACAATAAAAATACCGTTTTTTTTACCTGCTAGATTAGTTCTCAGTTGATGTAATGTTTGCATCGGTGTTCCACACTGGATCGTAGGAAGAAGCCTGTAAAAGGGCTCCGCCGTGTCTTTCTTGGAGACCTGTTAAGAAAAAGAATAGTATTCAAACTTATCCTAGAGATCTTATTTGAAGTATTGCATAGTGTCTTTTTTCTCATTATGCCACTGACCTTAGGAGACGTTTGTCGTCTCTCCACTGTTTCGCATACATTCGGAGATACGCCTGAAGTAATTTCAATGACATAAAGATCTGAGGATCGCCGCCTCCAGATCTGACCACTACTATTCTTCAAGGCACCAAGGATTAAGAGGTTGAAGAGAAGCGTGTCCAGACCACCTCTTACCTGTGGAAAAAATCTTCCATCATTAATAGTGCTAAGAGTAACAATAATAAATCATCTAACATCTTTCGACGATAGGGAACCAAAATAGATTACCGAAGGATGTACATCAAAATGGAAAATGCGGGAAAGGGGCAAATCTGGAACAATAATGTGAGGCAATAAAGACTCGACCACAACACGTTGGTGAACGATTGGTCCATAGATCGGTACACTGATGCAAAGTGGCACATCTGTACTCATGTCCTTGAGGTAATCCATCACTGCATCATTGTTTTGAAGTTCACTAAGGCGCTGACTGAGTCGACAGACTGCCAAACTTTTCCCAGATCCAGCTCTTTCAGATGAAATAACTCTAACAGCAAGTCTGTGCAGAGAAAACATATTTCGTCAGATGGCGGTAGAGTATTAGGTTCAATTCACTTTCACTAACATGTAGCATTACTACTCTACCCTACTTGGACGTTATTGCGTAGTTACCTCAGTGCAATGGATATGCGTTCATTGCCATTATCGAAACCACAAAACCACTGAAAAGGTATTGATCACTCTGTCCCGGCCCAAATGTCTATTTGATTTGTATACCTCAGCTTCATGTTCACGAACCACTATACTGCACTAATTAGGATTTTCTATTTCTAATAACGTGATGTACAAAAAGGCTCTTACTCTTCTCTGTCCAATGCAGCTGCAGGAATCCAAGGCAAGACTTGATCTCTGAAAGTTGCCCGTTGTTGAGAGCGTGGCTTAAGCTGTAATTTCAGGTACTGCCTGATCTCTCTTGATGAGCAACAGTGAGGAATAGTTCCAAGCCTATACTGATCTAGAGCTGCAGCCATGTGAGCTCTGTTTTCATTTTCGGAGCTACAGATAACTATAAGAGACAGGCCTGAAAAAGAATTGACAATAATTAATGCAGATGAGTGTCTAGAGTAAAAACAATTCAAGGGATACAATATCAAGACAGAAAAACAAATGATTAAATAGACAAAAGAGGACCACCCTGGGAATCTTCAAATTTTTACTCTGTGATGGAATCTACATTGGGATTTTAATCAATCTTCACTAAAAAACTTGAAGTTTAAAAGAAAAACGAGGGACTTCCATACACGTTTAGAAAGAGCAGCAACATGGCTAAATCACAAGTGTTTTGTCTATTTACGTTGCTGAAGATGATATGTCATTCTGTGCTGGGAACTGATATATCTCATTTTAGAAAAAAAAAACATTTGTGGCTCAGTTCAAAGTAAGAGACAAAATGATGGGCTATTGATTCGCTTGCAAACAAATGACGCTTTTATATGGTGAGATCTTAAAATCTCTCACCTCAATGCGAAGCCACCAATAGGGAGTCAAATCATACTCAGGAAGGATACAATGCGTTTTGGGCACGATTTAGTGGTGAAAGAAGCACAACTAGACAGCAAACTGTGCCTATTACCTTCATTTCGACTGTATTGAGGCTCATGCAATAGAACTTCTAGAACGTCAGAAGCTTGTTGAGAAACACCGTAGTCAAGAAGGTCAACATTTACCAAACAAAACAACCTGCCATTGTGGTCTGCAAGGGATCTACGCCACAGTAGTTCAATCTAAAAGCAAAGGGGAATTGTTGAACGGCACATAGGGCTTAAGACAGTTACTTAATCAAACTTGACTTTTGATTGGATGACCTGTAAACAGCAACATTCCATTACCTTTTATAGTTTCCATCATTCACGACTTCACCTTGCGTCATAATTTGCTTAACCTTGCTTTACCGCTAACACTGGTTCAGACTGCACTGCAACATTATGAAATTTCTGCAATATTTCAGCCGATAACCTACCTCTTCTGCGCTTGTATCGGAAGAGCAGATCAAAACTTCCTCTGTTGTTGGTAGAGACTGCGAACTGTCATGCATGTATAAAGACAGTAAAGTTCCCAAAACATCATCTTTGTGAGGATGAGGAAAAAGAAACATATAACTTTAAGGTCAATAACAGAACGACGAAATAGGAATCATTTCAGTTTAAAGAGATGACAAATGATTACAACATCAGTCAACATTGAACCGCAAAATAGAACGAAGTGACGATATATTACCAAAGAAATAATGAAGGAGGAGCTGACTTACAACTTAAAAAAAAAAAAAAAAAAAAGAACGAACAAATCGTCCTCCTACCTTTCGGAACGACAACAAAATTTGGCTTTCCACGTTTTAGGTATCTTGGAATACACCTCCTTTCCCTTTTTGATCCTACAATTAACGATTAAATTTAGATTTTTAAATAATCATAATGATAATAAGGATAATTTGTGCAAATTAACATGTGTATATGATCAAATGCGCATTTCATTAATCCAAGGCCCATAAACGAAAATAGGTTATCAAATTTATGCCTTATAAAAGTGTGAAAAATTTTTCTTAAAGACAGTACGTTCAAAGTGGAAGCTTACTGTCGATTCTGTAAGCCTTGAAATTATGCCATAGGTGTAAAAAATCTGATCATTTCTAAAAGTTCGTTTGTATAATGTTTTATCTGGTTTGTATCAATAGCAATTTTTTGTTTTCAATTTTTGGTGCACATTAATTGGTAAAAAGGACACTAGAGTAAGACTTAATATGCGCTTTGAAAACTTAGAAAAGCATTGACCTTGGGATGCTAGATGAAGCAAAAGCTTCCCCAATTCATCAAGACTCAAAAACGTTCCTCCTGCTGTTTGATCAAGAGTGTTACTAGCTTCCATGGGTTCTGAAAAATCTTCTGCTTCCGACGTCATTTCCTTTTCTTGTTGGCTACATGAAATAGAAATATCAGTTGCATATTACCTTGCACAAAACCAAGTATAATGCAATAGTTTAGGATCGTTAGTCACAAAAAATTATTAATGAAACTAAGAAGTAATACTTACTTCTTCTTACAAAGGAGCGGATATTGAACTTTTTCCAAAATTATATCACAGAAACATGTTTAAAGCTTTTTGTTAACTCTAATCCTGATTAACCAATGATTTCTCTGAGGAATCTCTTGTTTGCTTCCAGCTACTATCAACTTAAACTCGAGTGGCCGCATTACATACAGCGCTAGATTCGCACAACTCAAGTCTCACCTTTCGAGCTTAGAGAATGTAGTGCTTTCTCTTTCTATAAGTCGCAAATAACTTGGATCACTCAAGGCCTCAGAGTACTTAGTCGCGATGAGATCTTTTTTTGCACCGTTTTTCACACACCAAACGATGAGATCTGCCTCACTGGCATCTTTGCATGTGACCATCGCGGCCAAGGCAACTTCTTCAGAATAACCAAGCGACTCTAGCTTAACCACAAGTGACTGGAACATTTCTTGGTTTGAAGAAGGAACTGTCTTCACCATAGGGGGTCTTTCCATTTCTTTATCACGATAGCGACTTATGCTGCTTGCACCATACGATCTGAGCATCTGTTGTCCACTTTCTTGAGCAAAAATGCCACAAAATAAAAGGGTAGACTTTAAAATGGAAGGGTCGATGCCAGGTAACACACTCTCCAGAAGGTTATACACCTCAAGAGGAATTCCATCAACAGCTTTGGGACCTCTTCCCTTTACTTCTGCCAATTTGTTTCGAAGAAAGAGCAACTGGCTCGTGGTGAAGTGATTTAATTCTCCATAAAGCAATCGCTTGGCATGCAATTCTTGTTTCCAGTCTCGAAGACTCTGTTCCATGAGTTTACTCTCATCCATCAGATCATTTGTAAGAGAGCAGCTATTAGAAAGTTTTGGCGAACAATCAAATTTACGTTGCCACTTGAGATGACTTACTTCTCCAGCTTTGCAAAGAGAAATGTATACTGAGGCAAGACGATGAACACATTGTAGAATCTGTCAATTGTTAATATAAAAACAAAATTAGGAATCACAATTCAATTTCAATTTTAATAAATGTAACTCTACAACACCTTTTCTCCAGAACTTAAAAGAGTTTCCCCAAGATACTGGCAAAGCATAAAATCGCCTGTTAATCTAAGATTACTTTCAAATAACACTCCAGTATCTAAAATAAAATAAACAATTCTAGAAAAAAACATATTAAGATACGTCAGAATAAACCAAACAGGAAAAAGATAGGTAAGGGTGAACAAAAGTAACTTGGATAAAAGATAATGATGCAAAAACTTTTTAAGCAGCACAAACCTCAACGGGGCCTCCTGAGACGTTTTCAGAAACCAGCCCGAAGATTATCAACAGATGAAAGCTCACGAGGAGGTGTACGATAAAAAAATGGAAGTCGCCCATATGTTTTGTTTATGAATACATTCTAGGTTTCAAATATCGTCAAAAAAAACTTACATCCAAAAATCTGTCTACTTCTTCTTTCCCTTGAGACGCCTTCGCTGCAATAAGCATCAGTTTGCTCTGCAAATCCTTTAGATCGTTCAGACTGTAAATCTTGCGGTCAACGTTGTCTTCAGCAGGCATCTGAAGTTGAATCACTTTGTCAGGTGTCAGTTGTTCCATTGCTGGTAATGCTGAGGCATCTCTATCTTGACATCCTACGCAGTATACGCCCTGTGCATTTATCTTCTCAGCTTCCATTAAGGAAGACATAGCCACAGACCCATGAGACTTTCTGACACTTTTAATCCACTCAATCTGACGGCTACTTTCTAGCTATAAAGAGTGCAAAGTAAAATCGATCAAGATATTACATTGTCTGTATCATCGATCAGCTAGGAATGTAAAATCTCACCAGTGTGTCTCGATTGTGATACACAATCTCTCACAATCCTTTCCCACCAAGTGAGAGATGAGTCAGTGAAAATTGGATATGATGCTCAATTTTAGAAAAAATGCTAAAAAATAAAAAAGTCATCACCATTCACCACTATTCCAACAACCTCTCTTTCTACAATAACATCCAAAGGAAACAAAACGAATATGTGCCTAAGTTCAGTACACTCACATCTCATGCAATTAGTTAGAGCGGATTCATGTTTGAAAGAAAACTGCGACGGAATAACAGTTTTGGATCGAAGGATTGGCGGATTTGCAGACCCGATTCATATCCTTCCCTCGCCCTTTTTTGTGTAGCGAACGGGAAATACTTCTTATATGCGCCGATAACAAGATTCAGCAACGGGTTTAGCCAAGGAAAAGATTTGTAAAAGCTCTCTCTATAGAGTCAAGCTCTCCGATTTTTGTAGTACCCATTATTACCAGTTTTTCAGGGAGCTTAGGGTCAGCATCCACTGCATTCCACACTGGCTCACAAATCCTCATCAA